TTTATTTGAGCAGTCTTGTACATATTTCCCCTGTTACCAGTCTGCAGTGTGGAGTGAAAAGTGTAGAGTGTGGAGTGTGGAGTGTAAAGTAAGGAGTGTGAAGTGTAGAGTGTGGAGTCGGGAGTGTAGAGTGTGTAGAGTGTGTAGAGTGTGTAGAGTGTGTAGAGTGTGTGGAATGCGGAGTGTGTGGGGAGTGTGGAGTGTAGAGTGTGGGGTGTAGAGTGTGGAGTGTGGAGTGAGGAGTGTAAAGTGTGGAGTGAGGAGTGTACAGTGTAAAGTGTAGAGTGTAGAGTTGAAAGTGTAGAGTGTAAAGTGTGGAGTGTAGAGTGTAGAGTGTGGAGTGTGAAGTGTAAAGTGGGAAGTGTGGAGTGTGGAGTGTAGAGTGTGGAGTGTGAAGTGGAAAATGTATCCCCTCAACTACATAAGGTCCAGAGTACCCAGACCTCCAGGTCTCAGGGGCCCAGGGTCTAGAGTACTTCCTAGAGCACTGTAGGCCCTCTGCATTTAAGGTACTATAGACCCTTGAGCGTGTCTATGTTGGACATGATATATGGATGCCCCATAATTTTCAACTTTGAAGATGTAAGGCAGATCTTGTTTTTTCAAAGGTCTGGACAGCTTTTCTGGCAATCATCAGGACAGGTTGGTTTTGCTGACCATTGTAGCTCTAGACCTTTGCCAAGCTAGATTCCCCAGTTCTTACAGAGGTCTGGACAGCGTTTCTGGCACTGATCAAGACAGGTTGGTTTTGCTGACCATTGTAGCCCTAGACCTTTGCCAAGCTAGATTCCAAAGTTTGTCCAAAGGTCTGGACAGCGTTTCTGGCCTTGATCAACACAGATTGGTTTTGCTGGCCATTGTGTTTCTAGACCTTTGCCACGCTAGATTCCCCAGGTCGTACAAAGGTCTGGACAGCCTTTCTGGCACTGATCAAGACGGTTTTTTTTGACCAACCATGTTAGGCCCAGTCCTTTGCACAACTAGATTTCCAATGCATTTTATTTGTAGACTTTTGCACCCATAGATTTCCAATGACCCCCAAAGGTCTGGATACTGAGCAAGACTGGGTTTTTTGACCAACCATGTTAGGTCTAGTCCTTTGCACCACTAGAGGTTATGTGTATAGATGCCTTGTCGTTGTAAAATAGGAGTGTCGTGCGTACTAGTGTTGGAAATTAGTAAAAAAAAGGAATAATAAAATAATAATAATAAATTGTTTTTAAAAATATTAAAAAATATAAAACATTTCATTGAATAAGGAAAAATAGAAAATAAAAATAAAAAATAAATAAACAATAATAAAACAACATAAAAATTAAAAAAAATAAAATATATAAAAAAAAATATATATATTTAAAAAATAAAAATATTAAAAAAAACATGAGCGAGAAAAAACATGTTGTTTGGAACATTTTTTTGTATTTTTGACACATGGGTAAACGTCTTCAGACATTCAGCATCTGTAAGGTCCAAGGGTCTACACCATCGAAATTGTTTTTACGTGATATAGCTATGTAACTCTTCTTCAGACCCCGTTTTTAGGGTCTACAGTGTAATATCCAGGGTCCCAGCCATGTAGCTGATGGTATGAAAATGTAGAGTGTGGAGTGTGGAGTGCGGAGTGTAAAGTAAGGAGTGTGGAGTGTAAAGTGTGGAGTGTAGAGTGTGGAGTGTGGAATGAGGAGTGTGGTGTCTGTAGAGTGTAGAGTGTGGTGGAGTGTGGAGTGTAGTGTGTGGAGTGAGGAGTGTGGAGTGCGGAGTGTAAAGTGTAGAGTGTGGACTGGAAAGTGTACAGTGTGGAGTGTGGAGTGTAAAGTGAGGAGTGTGGAATGTAAAGTGTGGAGTGAGGAGTGTGGAGTGTGGAGTGTGTAAAGTGCAGAGTGTGGAGTGCAGAGTGTACAGTGTAGAGTGTAAAGTGTAGAGTGTGGAGTGTAAAATGTAAAGTGTGGTGTGTGTAGAGTGCAGAGTGTAAAGTGTAGAGTGTAAAGTGTTGAGTGCGGAGTGTAAAGTGTGGAGTGTAATATGTAGAGTGTGGAGTGTGGAGTGGAAAGTGTAGAGTGTTGAGTGTTGAGTGTAAAGTGAAGAGTGTGGAGTGTAAAGTGTGGAGAGAGGAGTGTGGAGTGTGTAAAGTGTAGAGTGTGGCGGAATGTGGAGTGTAAAGTGTGGAGTGAGGAGTGAAGAGTGGTGGAAAGCGTGGAGTGTAAAGTGTCAAGTGTGGAGTGTAGAGTGTAGAGTGCGAAGTGTAGATTGTAAAGTGTAGAGTGTGGAGTGTGGAGGGTAAAGTGTGGAGCGTGGAGTGTAAAGTGTGGAGTGAGGAGTGTAGAGTGTGGAATGAGGAGTGTGGAGTATAAAGTGAGGAGTGTGGAGTGCGGAGTGTAAAGTAAAAAGTGTGAAGTGTGTAAAGTGTAGAGTGTGGTGGAGTGTAGAGTGTGGAGTGTAGAGTGTGGAGTGCAGAGTGTGGAGTCTAAAGTGTAGAGTGTACAGTGTGGAGTGCATTGTTGCGCCAGCCACACAAGAGAACTTTCGACACGGTATAAAACAGGTTGGAATGTCACAAAGTGCTACGCCTTTGCCACGCAAAACGACATGACAACCTGCTTGGAAACCTTCGAAAAGGAAATGTTTTGCAGCTTCCCCCATAGACACAGCGACGCCACAGGAAATCCAGAGTCTCGAGACGAGACACGTGGGCGCAGCAAAACGAGCATTTCGTGCGAGACTGCCTCCAATTTTGACACTTTCGATACGTTATCAAACAGGTTGGAATGTTACAAAGTGCCCTGCCATGCAAAACAACACTACAACCTGCTTGGAAACCTTCGGAAAGGAGAGGTTTTGCAGCTTCCCCCATAGACACGGCGAGGCCACAGGTAAAACCAAAGACTCGAGACAAGACATGTGGGAGCATCAAAACGAGCATTTCGTGCGAGATTTCTGCTAATTTTGACACTTTGTAGCTTCAAAATCGTTTTCTTAACTTCTAAATTTGCTATATCAAAATCGAGGTTTCGTGCGAGGCTTCCGTCAATTTTCATTACATCTTACAAAACGCCACGCCTGCCACGGAATCAGCACCCTGTCAGCACTTGACGCAGCCCTGCCAATGCGATTTGCAAAAAAAACGCGCAACACGACACGTCCAAAGTGCTGCGTCTGCCACGCAAAACTGCAACGCATCTTCTGAAAACGTCGCAAAAGTATTGGGCCTGCCACACAAAACGATTTTCGACACGTTTCTAGAGGCAACATTCCCATATTCAGAAAATCTTCGCATACCATGTTTTCATCGTACTCCAGACCTGGGTTTTGGTATGTTACTTTGATAGGCATTTCAGCTCAATCTGGAGGGAACCGTTGGGCCATGGCGAATCCACTGAATGCCCCTCCACAGCTTTCTATCCCCTATGTCGTTCCAAAGCATCTGTGGACGTTGGATGAATTGAAGGCTGCTTTGATAAGGGAGTTTCCTCATTTGTCTACCGAAGAAGGACAGGGTTGTCAAAGGTAACGTTTTTAAAGGTTGGCTGAGTAAAAATTAGCCAGTTTCTTCCCCGGGGCCTCACCCAAGGTGAATTCGGAAAAATAGAATCCACTGGTGTGCCGCTGGAAGTTTGGGCTGGCTTTGGGATTGGAATTTTGGTTCTGGCCCCGAAATTTCCCTATGTGGTCTCTATACCAGCCACGCATACTCGGAATTCTTCGCATTCCACAAATTCTTCGCACTCCAGCGACGCCATCGCACTCCACAGCTGGGGAGGTAGATACTGTCAAATCATCGCGCTCGGCAAGATCTGCGCACTCCATAAAATCCTCGTTTTCGGTGAATGAAACGTTTTTTTCGTTTTTTTTGCTAAAATCGCCTGGAATTACGTTTTCTGGAATATGGGGAAGATAGAGTTTTCGCGTGAGACGTCTGTAGTTTCACATACTATCGCGTTCCAGGCCATTTGGCCAAAAAAAAGCTCAGCAGGGCGAATTGTGATAATTTTCTGGTATATATATGATGGAAAAAAACTGGTGTTGGATCCATGGGGAGGGTCGAAGGGGGCCGAAGGGGGCCACGCATACGGTTTTATTTTCGCATTCCAGAAAATTAGCGCACTCCAGGGGTGGCATCGTACTCTATCGGTGGAATTATTTTGCACGGAAGAAAACAGGATCGTCGATGATTTGTGTTCCCAGATCCTGTTGTGCAGAGCTCTTTGCGGGGCCACAAAGATGTCAAGAAAGATGGGGATGGCGCTGCTGATGAAAGGCCAGCCAAGCGTGCCAGAACATAAGCTTACAGCTTATGAATCGGGTTTTGAGATCCTGAAAAGTGTAGATGACAAATTCCCATAAGAACATTATTAATCCATTTTTGGAAAGCTCAACATTATTAATTATGACATTTCCAGAAATTGTTGGAAGTAAGGATCTGCTTTGGGGAAGAACATGTGCAGTCGACAACGTACGTGCCAGAAGAAAAGGAGTACTTGGCAAACTGTATGAAATACAAATTTCACCTGAAAGGGGTCTTCGCAATTCCCTGAAATTTCCTAGCTACTTTGGCATGGAATATGTTCGGCCCTGGAATATGGGCAAGAAACTGCTAGAAGGTTACAAAACAACACGTTTGAATTTCACGAAGTGCCACGCCTGCCACGCGAAACGAAGCAACGCGACGTTTGAAACCTCCAAAAATGACCCCTTCTGGAAAACTTACCATAGGCACGGCCATATAGCAATCGCGCGGACGGTTGCGCACGGTTGCGAACGGTTGTGGAAGTAGACGCAACGTCGAGCGAACGCACCCTCATCCCCCAGACCCCCAGAGTGAGACAGGAACCTTGCTACGCATTCGGGAAAAAGGAATCCCGTGCGCTTCTGAAATCCAAGATGATCCAAGAAGCTTCAGGACTGACAGTACAAAGATGAACGTCGCAGCCTGGGCTCAAGCTCGGGACTCGACCGAATCTTTTCATGCTTGATATTATATGGTTGAAGCTCGACGTCTTCACATGCCAGGAATTTCACACCTGGCTATTTCCTGCTTGCTAATTCTTTGTTCCTCCTGTCATTCCTTGGAGAGTCGCAAGAGCTCAAAGATCGAACATGAGGAAACATCGAATCTTATGACACATGTGGCAAGGCAATTTCACTCCAATGTGTCGACGGAGAGGGAAGTTTTGCCTCTGCAGATTCCAAGAAAGTGCTTTGCCATTCTAACACTCCAATATTTATTTTTGGAATGTTGGTGTGGGGATTGCATCCGGAAAGAGTTTGCCCACCTTGTTGTAGAGTGTAGAATGTTGTGGGTGTGTGGTACAGTTTGTTGACTAACGGCTTGTCCAGAGAAAGCTAGCTCAGGTTGCTCTTCAACTACAAGATCGATTTGTTCAAAGCTGGGAACAGTGATTTGAGTCGCCAGGAGGAGATATTGCTGGCCAACGTGAAGCGCACAGTGAAGGTGTTTGAGGATATCACTGGTGACGCACCGGAAGTTGAAATGTGGGGCGACGACCATTGCCTCACGGCACTCGATGAGCTGCAGATGAAGGAGGGTCATGCGCTGGCCTTTGGCTTTAAGAGAGAGGTGGAGGGCCGGATCAAGTCCGACCTTTGTCGCCTGGTGATGCTGTACAACACAGGGGGCTATTACTTTGACACAGATGTTGCCCCATTAGCCGCACTGCAAAGGGTATTAGACCCTCGAGCCACGTTTGTGACAGTGAGGGCGCAACGCGATGGTTTTTTCCAAGCTTTTGTCGCTACTACACCCAAACACCCTGTGATCAAGCTCTCATTGATGAATCTCGTTCTGGCAAATCTGCCTTTGAAGCCTTCTTGATCATTTTTCCATTTTCTCATATAAATATAATAAATCCTTATTGCATGCAGAACAAATGGAAGCATGTTCTATTCTAGCTGCGGTGCTATGTTTGGTTTGATTCGGGTTCTGCTGAAAGCGAGCACGCAAATTCAGTGGGTTATCTTGTGTGCAACTCTTCGGTACTACACATGCTTGGCACATGTGGATATAGGATTTCCGCCCACATCTGACCATTTAGTATAGATCCCTGTTGAGGAAGTTCAAGACCTGGTACGACAAGTATTGGACACCGGGTCAGGATAAGAATAAGCTGCGCGACGAGACTGGCCACGGACGCTATGGCTGCATCAAGATGCATGGGCGATCTTTCTTTCCTGGTTCTTGGTTTTCTTGTTTGTGACCCTTTGTGTTCATTTGTCCCCAGACCTGCCCCGGCCGAGGACAGATCGGGTGCGCTCTATTGGAGAGGTCTTTCGCAGAACCTTCTCTTTTTACGCCGTTCTTCTCTATGTTTCATATTGAAAACATAATAGACTATTGATCTATATTGATTTCTGTTGCATAAGTATATATATGCATATATTGCGTTTTTACAGCACGTTGACTGTATCTAGCATTTTTTTGGGTGTGTGTGTGTGTCTGTTGTAAATTCGTGGCTTTCGGACAGGATTGTCAACCTTCTGTGGGTACTGTAGTGACCTTCTATGACCTTGCTTTGGAAGCAAGCTGTGAGGGTTCCTACATTTATATTCGCTTGCTCCTTCCTTCCTCCTCGCTTGTGCTGGTCCTTCTCCATCTTCTCCTCGGCGCCTCTGACAGCAAGCTGGCTACAAGCTCGCAATGCGGCTCACCAGGTTTTTGGGCTTTGCCGGACCCGAACTCTACAGTGAGCTGGCAGGCTTCGGACCCGTCGCGCGGCAGACCTTCCCCATCCATCTGCGGAGGCAAAGCATACGGTTCGTGTATCTGCTACCTCTCAAAACGGCATTTCGTGCGGGACTTCCTTCAAAAACTGTAAGTTGAATTTGATTGCCTTTTGCAGTCCTGGTTCTTCCGTTATTGTTCTTTGCTTGTTCTTTGCAGTCACCGTTGTTTGCTATCATTCATTGTTCTTGGCATTGATTGTGCTTTGCATTCAAGACCCGTAACATGGGAGTCTAGCTTCTAAACTTCCTTTGATTATAGTATATTTGTATTTACACATATATATATATATATTTATTTATATTTATTTATATTTATTTATACAATATATGTCACACATTCTCTATCGTATTTACCAGTAGTACGGCACAAGGCGGTGGCGGAAGTTTCAACAATAGGAAACCTATAGGAAGGGTTGGCTGTTGTGACTCACCGATGGCAGAGCAAATCCACTGATGGACCGAAAGGTGGCTGGAGTTGTGTTTTCTGGAGTGGTTGCAATGGTTGCAGTGGTCACCTCACCACAACTGCTGGATGTAGTGTGGTTTAGCGCAGTTGTAGTTGTAGTTGCGGGTGTAGTTGTAGGTGTAGTGTAGTCGAATTGTAATTGTAGTTGTAAGTTGTAGCTGTAATGTAGTGTAATTAGCGTAGTGTAATTGCAGTTGCAGTTGTAACAACAGTTGTGGTGTGGTGTAATTAGCGTAGTGCATTGTAGTGTACTGTAGTGTTGTGTACTGTAGCGTGGTATAGTGTGGTGTAGTCTAGTGCATTGTAGTGTAAAGTAGTGTAGTTGTAGTTGTAGTTGTAGCGAAGCGTCGCGCAGCGCAATGTAGTGGTAGTTGCAGTTGCAGCGTAATGTAATGTAATGTAGTGTTGCGTAATGTAGTGTAGTTGTTGTTGGATTTGTATTTGTAGCTGTAATGTACTGCAGTTTAATTAGTGTATTGTAGTGTAGCTGTAATTGTAGTTGTAGCTGTGGTGGTGGTGGTGGCTGTGGTGGTGGTGGTAGTAGTAGTAGTAGTAGCAGCAGTAGTAGTAGCAGCAGTAGCAGCAGCAGGAGGAGTAGTAGTAGTAGTAGTTGCTGTTGTAGTAGCTGTAGTGTAATTAGTATAGTCTAGTGTAATTAGTGGTGTGTAATGTAGCGTAGTATATTTGTACTTGTAGTTGTAGTAGTTGTAGTAGTTGTAGTAGTTGTAGTAGTAGTAGTAGTAGGTGTAGTGTAGTGTAGTGTAGTGTAGTGTAGTGGTACTTAGACTTGTAGTTGTAGTTGTCTATCTATGCAAGTGATGCGCCAAAATGCAACCCCTCAGGAAATCAGCGCCCGGACCTCCTAACAGCTCTGATGAACACGTCTCTTGTACTGCGCCTGCCATGCGAAATGCATCTTGCCATATCCTCTGCATATGTCCCACGCCTGCCATCGTTTTTGAAATGCTACCAAAACCCTCACGTTTTGCTCACTTTTGACAAGGTGCACAATCCCTTGCGCCTGCCACGCGAAACGACATCTGAATGTCCAAAAGTGCTCCATACCCGTCAGTTTTTTGCACTTTTGACTTCGAAATGCGCTTCGCGCTACAACGGCCTGCGCTTTTTCGACATCTCAACTTCCAAAAGTGGTCCGAACAACTTCGAAATGTGCTGTGCGCCACAACTGCGTGCACTTTTTCGACATCTCAACTTCCAAAAGTGGTCCGAATATGCGTTTTTTTTGCTTTTACTTGCAAATCTGCTTTGTGCCACAACGGCGTGCAATTTTTCATCTCTCATCTGGCTAGATGGCTCCGCACCCGCCGCTTTAGCCATTGGAAAAACACGGTGTGTCGCGACTTTCCTACCTTTTCGCGCACCTGGATCTTCTTTCTTCTCATTCTCTCTTCTTTTGATCTTCTTTCTTCTTCTCTTCTCTTCTCTTCTCTGACTCTTCCCATCTCTGCTTTTCATCTGTCCATATTGTCGGAAGTTTGACTTCTAAACTTCCTTCGATGATTATGTTTTAATCTTATGTATTGCATATAGATTGTGATCTTATGGTATTTTTGTGATAAACTACTTTATTGAAGATTTGGTAAATTACTGAATCTTATTTTTTTTGCAAACAGCATTTGCAGTACTTTGTATAAATCTATGTTGCATATGTAGAATTATGTAGATATATTTCCATTAATACAAAAACTGCGGTTTTGTTTTAGCGCGTGCGCGTTTGAATTGTTTGGCTCTCGGACAGCTACCCCTGTAGGTTGTCAACTGTTCGTTGGGTAGAGACCTTCTACCTTCTTTGATCTTAGTTTCTTGTTTTCCCATGAAAACAATGATTCCGGGCATGTGAGTAACCGTGCCAAAAAAGAGGATCAACTCAGCCCCAGAGTGGCCAGCTTCATTAACTCAGGACTGGTCTGCTTCAGGTCAAAAACCCGACACCTTGCTGGTCCATCAGGGCGGGCACGTGTCGCAGTTCTTTGACGAATGGCAATTTGTAAGTCGAGGTCCGGACATCTTTCCGAAGGAGAAAAAACTGTTTTCAGCATTTTCAGATTCATTGTGTGACTGGGGCGTTTTTGATAGTCGCACAGATACCCTGGTGATGATCTCCAGGGTTTATGATACATACATCCGCGGCCCGTGCCCGCAATCAAGATTTCTCAGACTCCATTTGCCTTGACACTTACATGAAAAAAATGCAGGCTCTTGTTGTGACTCCGGCGTGGGTTTCTAGTGGATGAAGCAGCGACTTGAAAATTTGTGGATGTATGTCAAGTGGATTCAGCCAACTTTGTTTCACAAGAAGCAGATGCAATCCCCATCCATGGTGTAGCCATGAGCCATGACATCATGTGATTTTGCATTTTTGCATGTTTTCGATTTGATAGGGCATTTTGATAGCCCATTGTGTCTATGTCGCTCAGAGAATCTCACACACTTTCAGTCTAAAGAAATGGCAACAAGCGGACGCAGCATTGCGTATTTCGAGTGTTTCCTTTGTTTTTCTATGTCACGCTCCTGGGTTGATCCATGCACAGAAATTGATGGCATGTTTTCTGGCACTGCCAGATGCGGCATCAACACCCATAGCGTCATGTCAATGCATAGTTCCGGGTCCATATTTACTCCTACGTACAGTAGTTGAAGATACTTGAAGGAAATTCTATCCTGGTCCTTTTCTCGACACCGGATGAACACGCAAAACATCGACCAAAGGGCTCAAACCTAGAAATATCGTTGAAGGTTGGGCAATGCAATATCTTTGGGGTCTTTGTTTTCAGTCATGTCATGTCAGCAAGGTAATGGCTAGCGGGTGTCAAATAAACTGAGGAAGAAATTGGTGAGCTACGGGCATGCACGACAACTGAAAGTTGGAACGTACCTCAACAATTGCATTTGCCACTTGTCATCCTAGTTATGCAATCGCTGTGAGCAGATTTCAGAAATTTGTGCTGTGAGCGATGGAATCCTGTCGTTTTTAGTTGACTCCAATACTACTGACGCATGTTGACACTACACTAATTCCTACGTGTCACTTCATTGCCAAAGACTCTGCAGGTAATGAACATGGTTTGCCGCACTACGCAAATGATGTGAAGTGGATGGTGAACGAAATGGGCTTCGATGGCGTGTGACTGGCTTGAGGTATGACAAAAGGTATGGCAGGGGTTCTTTTTGGATGGATGATGATGGCTCCTCACCTCACAGCTGGGATGTTCCAAGGAAGATTGACAATTGCGGAAGCTCCACCAATGTCTCCTACTGGGCTGAGCTCCTGAACGCCACAGGAAAGGCGATTCGCACCTCTGTCGATTCTGACATTGACTTGTGCAAAAGCTGGTTGCTGGTTATTCTTTTTTGGTACATGTTCCACAATCATCCAGTGTATTGTTTTTTCTTAGGCATAGAGAATTGCCACAACTCTTGGCCTGACTTCAAGACCGGCTTTTGCCCGATGAACTTCTTCAGAACAGGTGCTGCATGCAAGCCACAAAACCATACAAAAGCCCGAAGACGAATCAAATGTATGAAGCTGGTCCTCGAAGGGTGCCGACTTTGATTTTGCAAGATTCGGAAGATCAGATGAAATCAGATGGGAGATGAAGGGAGGTAGAGGCACAAGGGACCATAGACCGGTCTTGATGACCAAGCAGGTCATACCATTGTTTGCTGCGCTGAGCAGCAGGTGGGGACATCAGCGCGGACATCAATTCCATCATCACCGAAGCTTATGCAGCTTGATTTGCAGTTTGAGAATGATGATCCTCAAGAGATATGTCACATGCTATGAATCTGGCCCTTTTGCATCTTTTCGCTGGCTTCTCACTTCCGCATTTCTGTTTCTGCTGGGCACTGTCTGCACACTGTTTCGTTGTAGCTGTGGCTATGCAAGACCGAGGCAACTGTCGATGCAGCAGATTTGCCGGAACCTCGTTCACGTCCAGGATGCTGGGCTTATCCAGATATGAGCGAGGCCAGGTCAGCCAGGTCAGCCAGGTCAGCCAGGTCATCCCCGAGTGAAGCCCGGGGCCCGGCATCCTTTCGGAGGTGGGAAACTTTGCTGGACCTCATCGTGATGATCAAGAGCGAACACATTGGGGGTCACTTTGCAGATGAATTTCCTGGGTATGGCAGTTATGGGGGCTTTTGATGGCTTTTGCAGATGGCACAGTGCTTGGGGTGCTTGGTATTGCTTGGCGTACTGTCACTGTCAGGTTGTGGTGTGTTGTCTCGTCACCCCTCATCCTTGGCTTTGTTCCGCTCTCAGTTGGTGCATTGCTTGGTCTTTGAGTCATTCTGAGCCTGTGACAAAATTAGCCACCCGTCAGGACATGAACGATTCCGAGACCATGGCCGGGGTCCTGAATACTCCCTTTGTATCAATTTTTTGTGTGATGTTTGGATTGCAGTGGCCAGTTCTCTCTTGTGATGTTGGTTGCCTAGCAGGACAGGGTGTGGCCAATCATCACCAACTTGGACGCTTTAGCAATCTCAGAAGCCTGGATTGGACACCCTGGTACACTGAATCTTGGTCCGAAAAGAGACCAGTTTTTAGATATTACCGGTGAGTAGCTGGGCTGGTGATATCTCAATGTGTATATATATAATTATATATGTAGTTATGTATATATTCCAATGGTTCCCAACGTGTGCCAATTTTTGAGACGATCCCACATATCCCAGATGTCCAAGGGATTGCTCAGGATTTGCAGCTACCCATCTCAACGGGCAGGACAAGTTGATCAAGTTGTGCAGGGTGATTGTGATGGAAGTGCCGCGACCACCGGCTGGACTTTCAGTGAAGGCACTGTGCTCGGATCCCCCTGGTTTACCTATCCTCTCTGCCATTCTCTGGTGGCCTCTCCAGACAAAGGTAGACTCCAAGTAGACTCTAAGATAATTGCTCGACAATCCCCACAAATCACCCAAAGGATAGAACATCATAGAACACCTATCAAGTGCTGAATTGTTCAGTTGGTTTCAAGGCTTTTCAAGGCTCTTTGGGGCTTTGTACGCAATGGGCTCAAGTGACATATGTAACCATGCAAAGTTCGGCGCTTTTGCAGTTTAGCCCCAAACTATATGGGTAAACCCAATGTAAAAGCCAACAGCAAATGCGGGCGCGCTGCAGGCAACTTGGTGGCGCCTCAGTTGGGGAGACCCGAGGCACAGTGTTTGACCAATCAGGTGGTGCCATGCCCACCACCAACCACCTACGCCCCGGATGTACAATGCGGCCTGGCGGTTACAAACTGCAGTGACTTGGAATCAAGCCGGGGCCCTGAGAATAGTTAAAGTTGTGTCCTGACAATTTCTGTCATTTATATCTCCCAATGAATAAAAGATAAATACGTATAAATACGTATAGATACGTAACGTACTCACATGTATTTCCACATTTGAAACATGTTTGTTTCTGCTCATGCATTCTGTTTCGAACTGATAACGAATTTGGCTCAGGTAACAGGCCACAGGGCATTGAATGGATGCGCATCAGAGAGCAGATCCAATACCACACAGACCAGTCAAAGCCGACGTGCTTGTGCCACAGCTGCAAAAACCTGAGGCTTTCAACTTCAGGTTGGTCAGTAAGGGTTAACCTTGGTCAACCTTTGTCCAAGATGTGTTTTAGTTTCTGACCATCAAGCTGCCTTGCGATTCTTCCACACGCAGACACCTATAAGCATTTGGGACTCACCTATGGGAGCAAGGAGAGTCAAAAGGTATAGAGTTGTTATCCCTGAACACCGCACTGAGGTATGCCGATCCTGTTGACTTTGATACGTCAAAAGGGTACTTCACACGGAAGGCCGCTACGGTTGGGCTTTCTGCCCCTTGGATGGATTCATTTGGGATTGATATGGATTGATAAAAGGTGCTGGAGGTTCTGCTTGCACCTTGACCAACTGAATTTGTCAGGTGCCCAGGTGTGATGTTGATTTCTCAAGCAAGCTACCAATCAGCTACAGTACCAAGGCATGCCCTCAGCATTTTGAGGAGCGCACCTCAAGGTCAGAGGGTTTTGCTCCGTCAGATTCCGACCAGTGCGCTTTGCACAACCTAGTTGCTTGTCATGACGAGGAGGGTTGAGGGAGTGAATTTGGCACCCAGTTGTGGAGAGTTTGCCCATTTGTCGGACCAATGAAAATCAATGAAAATATATGTTTCTTCACCAAACTCTGGGTTTTCTTCTGAATCAGTACAATCTGGTTGATAGAGAATCCCAACTATTATTTTCGCACTCCTGTCCTTAAAAATTGCCAAACATTTCACAGACTGGACCCCTTCCTGCATGCAGATCCGTTCTCTCTTATAGCTGCCTGCCTGCATGGGCGTGATTTTGCACTTGTTGATAGAGGTATATGTTTCTCTTTTCGGAGTTTTCTCCCTTTCTCTTTATATCCGTCGAGATTGTATCGTGCATCTGGTTTTGCATTTTATAATATTATATATAAATATGTGTGTGTGTGTGTCATTGTGTGTGCAATTATATATATATATATATGCCCGTGTGCTCTTGGCGTAGACATGAATGCCCTGCACCAACGACAGATTTCCATTGTGAAGAGATACATTCGTGCAGTTTCTGCACTTGCACTGGGTAGGGATGGATGGGGTCTTGCCACGAGGTGCATCAGCATCAGAAGGCTGTCCTTAGAGCTGACACTGCTTCATCTTCCAATATGAACTTCACTTTGACTTCCAAAGGCCAGACGAAGCAATGGCAGAATGTGGCAGACATCGCATCTATAGATATCTATAGACTGGCAGCCACATACTTTCTCACGTCGCTCCATGCCTGGAGATATGTTAAATGAATGGCTCCATTTGCTTGAAAACTTAGGTTTGTTGCACCAATGTGGTCTAATTACCACAAATAAAGCTTTGCGCAGTGGTTGTTTCAAACTCATGGTTTTTTGGAACTCTTTGCATGTAATTGCTGCAATCGTCGCTGCATGTGGACAGGTAGTTGACATATGTTGACATGACAGCATTTGGTATGAGGCCATTGGTGTCAGTTTGTCGGCAGGTGAGCTACGAAGTGCTTCCGGTTGTTTGCGAGTTGCAGCCGTGAGCGGCGTGCAGCTCTGGGCCAAGCCAATCAATAGCTCCAGTTCGGCGGTGCTTTTGAAGCTTGATGGCACCAACAGTGCACACCCCATGGCGGAACTGCTACCCTGTGGCCCCGCAGCATTGCTACATATCCAATGTTTGACCACCACAAGTAGTGAAGTTCCATATATAAATATATATATATACAATTTACAGTACCCTTCAAAATAATCATTTGAGTCCTTCTGACCAATTTTGCATCCCAACTTGGGAAGCCTGCGCAGTCACTGCTGAAGCTGTGAATATCGTGGAATCCAGTGGGAATCCAATATCCAAGGATTAACCCATCAGGAGATGACGAGGTTCTCCAGTGGCCAGTCAAGGACCTCCCCAGTCGCTTCACAGGCATGGGGAGGAGGCTATCATCAAAGCCTAGATGGTTTGTTTCCAAAAAGGATATGCCCCAAATCCATTGTTCGGGTAGATTACCGCCCACCGAATCTGAAAATACGTTGCCATTTTTGGGCACCCCCCCGTTTCAGACAAATTAGACTGGACATGAGAAAAAGTACAAGGGGTACAGTAGGGGTACCCATTGTTTATGTCACAAAAATTGTGCAAGACAAAGATTTAACATGATGTAGCAACACGGTAGGTCATCCAGTTTTTTGTCAGGCGCAAAGTCGAGCTTTGCTTGTCAACCAGGGCGTTGCATTGCTCGTTTCTCGGCTGTGACATTGGGAATTTGAATGTTGTTGTCAGGGTAGCTGGTATGCCTTGTCCATTTCCTTCTGCACGAGGTGATGTTTGGGCGAATCAAACCTTCCCAGTGACTTCAGCAACTTGACGCGGAGGAAAGGATTTTGGGTTCAGAGCTAGGCAATGGGAGGTGACATTGGTGTATTTGATCTCTATACGGCTATACGGTACATCTCTTTTGTTCCCCACATTGACGTGTGGGGTTTTTGTTTTTAGTTCTGTATCCGCTCCTCGTCCTCCTTCCCGTCCTCCCTCCTCAACAACACACTCACTCTCACTCACTCACACTCACTCACTCACTCACACTCACTCACTCACACTCACTCACTCACTCACTCACTCACACTCACTCACTCACACTCACTCACTCACACTCACTCACACTCACTCACTCTCACTCACTCACACTCACTCACTCACACTCACACACTCACACACTCACACTCACTCACTCACTCACTCACTCACTCACTCACACTCACACACTCTCACTCACTCACTCACACTCACTCACTCTCACTCACTCACACACTCACTCACTCACACTCACTCACTCACTCACACTCACTCACTCACACTCACTCACTCACACTCACTCACACTCACTCACTCTCACTCACTCACACTCACTCACTCACACTCACACTCACTCACACTCACTCACTCACACTCACTCACTCTCACTCACACTCACTCACTCATGTGCATTTTGCGTGGCAGGCGTGACAATGTGGGTCTGATGTAGGCGTGGCAGGCGTGGGACAATGTGCACTGCCAAGGGGTCTGATGTACGCCCTGGCGTCCCTTGGGGCTCCGCCTCTTTTGCGTGGCAGGCGTGGGACAATGTGCACTGCCAAGGGGTCGGATGTACGCCCTGGCGTCCCTTGGGTCTCCGCCTCTTTTGCGTGGCAGGCGTGGGACAATGTGCACTGCCAAGGGGTCGGATGTACGCCCTGGCGTCCCTTGGGTCTCCGCCTCTTTTGCGTGGCAGGCGTGGGACAATGTGCACTGCCAAGGGGTCTGATGTACGCCCTGGCGTCCCTTGGGGCTCCGCCTCTTTTGCGTGGCAGGCGTGGGACAATGTGCACTGCCAAGGGGTCTGATGTACGCCCTGGCGTCCCTTGGGGCTCCGCCTCTTTTGCGTGGCAGGCGTGGGACAATGTGCACTGCCAAGGGGTCTGATGTACGCCCTGGCGTCTCTTGGGGCTCCGCCTCTTTTGCGTGGCAGGCGTGGGACAACGTGCACTGCCAAGGGGTCAGATGTACGCCCTGGCGTCCCTTGGGGCTCCACCGCTTTTGCGTGGCAGGCGTGGGACAAGGTGCACTGCCAAGGGGTCAGATGTACGCCCTGGCGTCCCTCGGGGCTCCGCCTCTTTTGCGTGGCAGGCGTGGGACAATGTGCATTGCCAAGGGGTCTGATGTACGCCCCAACGTCCCTTGGGGCTCCGCCTCTTTTGCGTGGCAGGCATGGGCCTCCGCCGCTTTTGCGTGGCAGGCGTGGGACAATGTGCACTGCCAAGGGGTCAGATATACGCCCTGGCAGGCGTGGAACATGTACTCACTCACTCACTCACTCACTCACTCACTCACTCACTCACTCACTCACTCACTCACTCACATACATCATCATCATCATCATCAGCATCATCATCATCATCATCATCATGTACCAGCGATGTTTACCAGCGATGTTTACCAGCGATGTTTACCAGCCACAGGGCATGCAGAAAGAGTTCACAAAATGTGCGGCTGCGCTCGAAAGGGTGCAGAACATTACTTTGGTCAGCGGAAGTATGGTGAGCACACCATCGTTTTGATAGTGTGTCGGAAAAAAAATCAGAGCCTGGTGGAACTCGATGAAAGCGAAGCAACTTACTCACAAACAACTTACCCTACGTACATACATACATAGATACCTAAATACATAAATACATACTTACCTACCTATCTACCTACCTACCTACCTACATACATACCACCATCGTCCCTCCATCACTCTTATACTTTCTCTTCCATTCTTGCTTTTCTATGCCCAGTCTAAATCTAGAGAAGTTGGTAACATGTGGGGTTATCCGGTCCTTTAATTTTTTAAATATGGTGATGGTGATGATATGGTGATGCCACAGCAACAAGATTCATCTGAGGATTTTGGGGACACGTTGACCCGGCCCCTTCCTAAGGCCACCATCCAGGTTAGCTTGAAACCTTGGGCCAGCGCACTGTATATCCTGAGAGCTGACCACCTCAGTCACCTCGGTCAGATTGTAGTGTAGACATGTGTAGAGATGTGCAGCGACTGTTCAAAGTTCAATGACGTTTCAGTCCTTCTAGCTTTTGAGACCTGACCAGCATCGCAGTTTCAGCGTTTTGTCTGAGTCGGCAACGCTTCTTCGCAATCTTTTGATATATCGAAACTTGTGTTTATATGATGTCTCAGTGCATCTCAGTGCACAAGACACCTTGAGATGTTAGATTTCAATTTCACGCGCAAAATGGTGGACGAAGCATGCTGAAACCCCATGATTGAGCTGAATGGCATCAGATCCGAACTCTCAACTCCGACTTGCAGGGAATCAACGATCCCGTTGCCGCTGCATTGTACCCTTGGAAACTAACGTGGCCAATAGCTCAGTGCCATGGAAACCTGATTTGATTCACAAGAGGAGATAAGATTCATTATATGCAGGCAGAAGGAGCAAAGGATGTAAACTACTGTAGTCAGAAGATTCCAGATTGTCACAAGCAAACAACATGCGGAATGCATTCTTCAGAAAATGCCTGAGTCTTCATGGTTCATCATCCAAGACCTGGGTTCAGGCGCAACACTCCAGCCTGCAGCCTGCTGCAACAACTGCAGAAAGACTGCAAAAGATTGACCCGTTGCAAGTTCCACAGGTAGCATCTAAGCATCACTTCAGATTCATTGTGCACCGCATTCCATGCCATCTTGCTTTGCTCCTGGCTTCACCAGCACCTTTAAACTGACAATCCCAAAGCCTCATTTTCAAGAGCAAGCAGATTGTGCAGCAGCTGCATGTGCTTTGCAAGCAGTTCAAAAATGTTCGAAACCAATAGTCCAAGATAGTCCATGCAAGACCCCCAAGAAACGACACTGGAAATCGCAAAAGCATCCTTCAGAAAGGTCGCCCTTTCAATAGCAGCTTCTCTCTTTGGCTGTCAAAGCTTTTATCTGGCCTTGTGTTTGCACCGCAGCAATGGCACAGATTTGACAATGCCGATAAGCCAAGATGTCATGGGCAGCTTCGGCGAGTCTGCAGCTACCAGCTTCAGGGATGCAGCCCAAAGATGCTTGGATCCTGACATGACATTGCCATCGAACATGTCAGCAGCGCCTGTTTGATCATACAAGGATGTACAAGGTATAGGGCTTATCAGATTATCATAGATTATCGTTGTTCCAGCTGGGGGTCAAGAAACTGTTGACTTGTTGATTTTGTATGATTTTGTGGTATTGTGTTGTTGCTTGCGATTTCCCATGTTTTTTTTGAGGGTTCGATGCTTGCAGCTCTGACAGTTGAGGATGCTGCAGACCAAGAGGCCGAAGATAAAGCTGTAAGCGACAAATGCACGCTTTTGCGCACACGACTGGGTGGACTTCCTGAAGAGGATCGCCAGTTTGGAGACCAAGATTTCCTACATTTCTTTGATGATGATGTTTGTTGTGTTTCTGTTAATGTTCCTTTACTTCAAAGACTTGGAATCACTAATGTTGGTTCCTGATTAGTGTGTGCCCCCCCCCCTCCCCTAAACTATTTCTGGACTCTCTTTAAAGTAGAAAAGCAAAAAATTTCTTCCCAAAAGAAAAACATATCCTCGATTAAGTAAGGATTTCAATTGGCTACAATTGAAATCTAATTACTATTGTTTTTTTGCCGATGAAGTTGTGGTACTTGTAGTACTTGTAGTACTTGTAGTACTTGTAGTACTTGTAGTACTTGTAGTACTTGTAGTACATGTAGTACTTGTAGTACTTGTAGTACTTGTAGTACTTGTAGTAATTGTAGTAATTGTAGTACTTGTAGTACTTGTAGTACTTGTAGTACTTTTAGTACTTGTAGTACTTGTAGTACTTGTAGTACTTGTAGTACTTGTAGTACATGTAGTACTTGTAGTACTTGTAGTACTTGCAGTACTTGTAGTACTTGTAGTACTTGTAGTACTTGTAGTACATGTAGTACTTGTAGTACTTGTAGTACTTGTAGTACTTGTAGTACTTGTAGTACTTGTAGTACTTGTAGTACTTGTAGTACTTGTAGTACTTGTAGTACTTGTAGTACTTGTAGTGCTTGTAGTGCTTGTAGTACTTGTAGTACTTGTAGTGCTTGTAGTACTTGTAAAATGGAGCCTCTCCTGGTCCAGGGCCTTGGAAAATTGTGGAACAGCTGTTCTTTAATAAGGGTTTAATAAGGGATTGGTTCTTTTGGGAAAGGCTTGGAGTTTGAATTTGGCAATTTTGGAAAAGGCTTGCTTCCCTTCTGGGCTTCCAGGGGCTGCTCTGGCACAGCTTGCTGCAATAGTGAGCCCAGAAAACAAACTTACTAAAGTGAAATGGAGCCTCTCCTGGTCCAGGGCCTTGGAAAATTGTGGAAAAGCTGTTCTTTAATAAGGGTTTAATAAGGGATTGGTTCTTTTGGGAAAGGCTTGGGGTTTGAATTTGGCAATTTTGGAAATGGCTTGCTTCCCTTCTGGGCTTCCAGGGGCTGCTCTGGCACAGCTTGCTGCAATAGTGAACCCAGCAAACAAACCTACTAAAGTGAAATGGAGCCTCTCCTGGACCAGGACCTTGGAAAATTGTGGAAAAGCTGTTCTTTAATAAGGGTTTAATAAGGGATTTGTTCTTTTGGGGAAGGCTTGGAGTTTGAATTTGGCAATTGCCTATGGAAAAGGCTTGCTTCCCTTCTGGGCTTCCAGGGGCTGCTCTGGCACAGCTTGCTGCAATAGTGAACCCAGCAAACAAACCTACTAAAGTGAAATGGAGCCTCTCCTGGTCCAGGGCCTTGGAAAATTGTGGAAAAGCTGTTCTTTAATAAGGGTTTAATAAGGGGTTGGCTCCTTTGGGGAAGGCTTGGAGTTTGAATTTGGCAATTGCTTTTGGAAAAGGCTTGCTTCTCTTCTGGGCTTCCAGGAGCTGCTCTGGCACAGCTTGCTGCAATAGTGAACCCAGCAAACAAACCTACTAAAGTGAAATGGAGCCTCTCCTGGTCCAGGGCCTTGGAAACTTGTGGAAAAGCTGTTCTTTAATAAGGGTTTAATAAGGGATTGGTTCTTTTGGGAAAGGCTTGGAGTTTGAATTTGGCAATTGCCTTTGGAAAAGGCTTGCTTCTCTTCTGGGCTTCCAGGAGCTGCTCTGGCACAGCTTGCTGCAATAGTGAACCCAACAAACAAACCTACTAAAGTGAAATGGAGCCTCTCCTGGTCCAGGGCCTTGGAAAATTGTGGAAAAGCTGTTCTTTAATAAGGGTTTAATAAGGGATGGATTCTTTTGGGAAAGGCTTGGGGTTTGAATTTGGCAATTTTAGAAAAGGCTTGCTTCCCTTCTGGGCTGCCAGGGGCTGCTCTGGCACAGCTTGCTGCAATAGCGAACCCAGCAAACAAACCTACTAAAGTGAAATGGAGCCTCTCCTGGTCCAGGGCCTTGGAAAATTGTGGAAAAGCTGTTCTTTAATAAGGGTTTAATAAGGGATTGGCCCCTTCGGGAAAGGCTTGGAGTTTGAATTTGGCAATTTTGGAAAAGGCTTGCTTCCCTTCTGGGCTTCCAGGGGCTGCTCTGGCACAGCTTGCTGCAATAGTGAACCCAGCAAACAAACCTACTAAAGTGAAATGGAGCCTCTCTGGTCCAGGGCCTTGGAAAATTGTGGAAAAGCTGTTCTTTAATAAGGGTTTAATAAGGGATTTGTTCTTTTGGGAAAGGCTTGGAGTTTGAATTTGGCAATTGCCTTTGGAAAAGGCTTGCTTCCCTTCTGGGCTTCCAGGGGCTGCTCTGGCACAGCTTGCTGCAATAGTGAACCCAGCAAACAAACCTACTAAAGTGAAATGGAGCCTCTTCTGGCCCAGGGCCTTGGAAAATTGTGGAAAAGCTGTTCTTTAATAAGGGTTTAACAAGGGATTGGCTCCTTTGGGAAAGGCTTGGAGTTTGAATTTGGCAATTGCCTTTGGAAAAGGCTTGCTTCTCTTCTGGGCTTCCAGGAGCTGCTCTGGCAGAGTTTGCTGCAATAGTGAACCCAGCAAACAAACCTATTAAAGTGAAATGGAGCCTCTCCTGGTCCAGGGCCTTGGAAAATTGTGGAAAAGCTGTTCTTTAATAAGGGTTTAATAAGGGATTGGTTCTTTTGGGAAAGGCTTGGGGTTTGAATTTGGCAATTTTGGCAAAGGCTTGCTTCCCTTCTGGGCTTCCAGGAGCTGCTCTGGCACAGCTTGCTGCAATAGTGAACCCAGCAAACAAACCTACTTTGACTGAGCTACAGCGTTTTTGAGAAAAACATGCCTCTCAGCAATTACAGTTTTTTTTTGCAAAAAAAAGGGTTCTCCCAATTTTGTTTTGCCACAAAAGCGAACCCTCCAAACAATACATGAGTTTCAGAATAATTTGGAAAAAATTTGCCACAATAGCGACCCTAGGTACTAATCAGGACCCAACATTAATTAGCCCTGTGGAATCCCATTCTCAGGTTTGCCACCGATATTTTGACGTCCCAGATCCGAGAGACTTGGGCACTTCGGCGGGCTTTAGCTGCTCAAAGAGAGGATGATGGAGGCTGGATTGGAAATTGTTCAAGGCAGCTATAGATTCAGGAGGCAAGACAACGGCAAGACATCATTTCAGTCAGAAATATAAACATGGACCAAAATGAACTACAGAAACATTTGATATACATCAGCAGCATCAGCAACCCGAAGTAGGAACTTCTTTGTCGTTAGCCTATGTGCCGATGGGTGTTGCGTTTGTTTCTACAGATCTTTTGCGTTCGGGCTGTAGTGCCGTGAACTGTCCCTCTAAGTCTTGTACCCTATTGAGCACCTATAGCATGCCATTGAAAGCCATTGAACTCTTTACAAAACGTAAAAATCACTCAGCACAGCACAGCCTCAGAGCAGGAAGATTGGCCTGGCCGGAATGGTCTCTACACGTTTACAGTATTCCAGATGACCAAATGGCGCTATTAGGGCGCTTAACTGCAGGTCGCCGCGGCCTATTTCAGCTCCGAATTTTTGAAGCAGAAGCTAAGATGGCGCGGAAAGAGGACTCCAAAGCCGAAAATTTATGAAATGTCAGGGCAACTCCAGCTGTTTCGATTTTTTTTATTTTAATTCTGTTCATTAAGATGCCTTGAAGGAGTTGGTCGAAGCAGAGCTGTGCGCAGAATTGGTACAAGAAGCCAAAGGCCTTGCAGCCCAGGCTGATTCACTACGGACGCGAGACCAATCCCGGGACCCCAGGCCAGATTTCCGCTTCATTTCTCACTGAGTCTCAGCTGGATGTTGGAATCGTTGTTACATGTTGTTACTTCAATGCCAGGTATGCTCACTGGGAAGAAGCTGCAGTGCGTTTGCCTGCGGCAATCACCACTGAAGCGGCCTTGCGTGACCGTGTGGAGCAATTGAGCCAACAAGAGCAACAGGTCTATTCGCAGGCAGGGCAGATATCAGATACACGATTTGAACAAAGGTTTATTTTATATGTTTCATGTATTAACTTGAGCTTGGAGCGGGTATAACGCTATAACAAACAAGATCTGTTGATGTTGATGTTTTTGGCACTCTAATGTGGCAGAACTTTGGAAAAGGCAATGCTAATTTCGAGATATTTCGAGTATCAATTCCCTGCAAACCCGAGGGATTTACATTCCCCACCTGCCAGGTGAGGGTTGTTAGATTTTATGTCAGTTGCCTCCTCCTCCTCCTTCTCCTCCTTCTCCTCCTCCTCCTCCGCCTCCTCCTGCCTCGTCCTCCTCTCCTCCTCCTCCTCGTCCTCCTCGTCGTCCTCGTCGTCCTTGCTCAACTGCGACCCGCGATCCCCAGTGTTCTCTGCCGGACCTCAACCACGACCATCCACGCCCAGTGTTCCCTGCCGGACCTCAACCACGACCATCCACGCCCAATGTTCCCTGCCGGACCTCAACTACGACCATCCTCGCCCAGTGTTCCCTGCCGGACCTCAACCACGACCATCCACGCCCAGTGTTCCCTGCCGGACCTCAACCGCAAGTATCCACGCCAAGTGTTCCCTGCCGGACCTCATGTAGGAAGATATGGGACAAAGAATGTGCAGAAGAAAATTAGAAAGAATGTCAGAAAGAATGTCAGAAGATATGCCAGAAGATATGCCAGAAGATATGCCAGATAGAATGCCAGATAATATGCCAGAAGATATGTCAGATAGAATGCCAGATAGAATGCCAGAAGATTTGCCAGATAGAATGCCAGAAAATATGCCAGAAGATATGCCAGATAGATATGTCAGAAGATATGCCAGAAGATATGCCAGATGATATGCCAGAAGATATGTCAGAATATATGCCAGAAGATATGTCAGATAGAATGCCAGAAGATATGTCAGAATATATGCCAGAAGATATGCCAGATAGAATGCCCAGAAGATATGTCAGATAGAGTGCCAGAAGATATGCCAGATAGAATGCCAGAAGATTTGCCAGAAGATATGCCAGAAGATATGCCAGATCATATGCCAGAAGATATGCCAGATAGAATGTCAAATAGAATGTCAGAAGATATGTCAGATAGAATGCCAGAAGATTTGCCAGTAAGAAAATGTATAAATGTCATGGTGGGGATCACACGAAGTAAAGTATAAGTAATTGAGTTTTTACGTGACTTGATGTCACTTTCTTGGTCCGGGAAGGTGGAGGAGTGGCAACGCGAATCCGCGGCCGAACTCTTGTCCTGTCGCTTTGAAGTCAGTGACCTTCAGCGGCAATGCGGCGAACTGCGAGGAGACGGGATCGTGAAGCACAGTGGATGGCCACCGGGATCTTCCACTGGAATCCACTGGACACATTCATCAAGCATCAATAAGTTAGTGGATGTGGCCTGCTTGCCTGTCGGCACCCTGAAAATCCCTGAAACTATACTTATTTATCCTGCATATGTAGATACGATATAATAGATTAGCTATTTGTAAGATAGCTGACACTAATTATAAAAGAGCTTATTTAAGGTGACAAATATTTGGCAAGTTTCTCAGAGAGTCAATCCATTGTGACATAAATATGACGAAAAGGTATTGAATAAACGATCTTGTGTTTGCTTCTCATTTTCTTTGCACCATACTGATTCCATATTGGATCCATTGATCATGCTTGCAGGCGAGCTGGTTCAAGCACAGGCTGAGATGTCTATGGCCTCACAAGGTGCTGTGGAGGCTGCGTTCATCCAGTGCATTGGTGACCTTGAAGCTGATGTGAATGCTTTGTTTAATGTCTACCTGCCTGAGATATGCAGGTTCAGTTTCCTCGCAAGGATGCAAGTGAAATCCGTAACTTGGCCTGCATCGGCTTCCTTCTTGACGGCTGAAGTGTTATACAATATGTTATATATTTTGCAGGAACGACATGTGGGTAATCATGGGTCAACTGAATTGACGTGCTAATAACAATTCTCGATATAAAGTGCATGCAATCATGATCGCCTTGCGCTGGCAAGGCGAGTCTCAGCATGTGTATGGCCGAAGTGCTGCACCTTGGCGTTGTACACCTTGAATGATCCAACTGGGGCTGGGAGGATCTGGGAGGCTGTGACCGAGGCCATTCGGTGGCATGATCCCGGATGTGTCTTTGATGCCTTCGCCTCACCTGGCCCAGAGAGGAACTTTTCGGCGTCGGATGTTCAACTTGACACCACTTGTCAGCTGCACCAAAGTCACTGCTGAAGAACAGAGATCCCATCCTGAATCCTAACCTTTCTGATGCACTTTGAATCTCTTTGATTCTATTTTTTGAAATCTCAGATGTTTTAAGAATTGAAGGTCCAGATCTTGTTTATTGATGTTTATTGTTTCTTCATCATTTTTCCATCTCACTATGCTTCACTGTTCCCATTGCATCCCAATCCGTCCAGGGCCCAGATGTTTCCCGCAGACTTCGGCCACTTGTGCGAACGCCTGCGGCGAGCTCAGGGCCGTGGCCCGAGTGGGGAGAAGGACGCCCGAGCCGTGAGAGTGGCGCGTTGCGCCATGGCAGGTTTAGGATGTTTAGGGTAACATATGGAAGATATATGATGTAATGTATATATATATATAATTATGTGAATCTATCTATCTATCGATCGATCTATCTATCTATCCATCTATCCATCTATCTATCTAACCGTGTGTGTGTGTGTTTATGCATGTATAATATGTATTAATATTTTTATATAGAACTATATACAGAATGATATATACATATATAATATAATATTAATTAATATTACATTATATATTTTATTATATGATATAGTTTAATATAATAAAATAAAATATAATATAATATTATATATATATAATATATGATATACATATGTGTGCGTGTGTGTGTGTGCGCGCGTGTGTGTGTGTATGCTGATTAAGTTAATTATGTTGCACTGGTAACTGCAGTTCTTGTAGCTGCAATCTTGCAACTTGTTTAATTCTAGTAATCTAGCGGATTACATGGAACATGATTGAACATGATCGCCATACAATTGGTAGAACCTGGAGATGCTGATGAAGAAAAGGAGAGAGAGAACCTGGAGAATGAGAGTCATTATTGGTATCAAAACGTTACTAAAGGGAATGCAGCTGCTGTGAATATAAGTAATATTGCTAGCAAAGGGGTTCTTCCTGGAATGCAAGAAGAAATCGTCGTGGGCTCATCTGAGATGTAGCACCAGCCGCTATACTCCGACAGTTGGCAGACCAATTTTGAAGTGCCATAGGTTTTTACCGACTTGCCGACTCTTACTTTTACCAGAAACGATTAGAAACGGCCAGGAGCGACGCGACTTTGCGGATTTCGCATTCAGCGCAGTCTTTGGCAACGAAGCTGCGGTGGATCGGTCCACTTTCATGCGTTTGTATCCGCATTTTGCATTGCACCCTGACAAAGAGCCGAAACATGGGTTTTGTCCAGAATGGGGCATAGACCCCACAATATAAACTATATTGACTAGTGACTATTGGTTGTTTCTGGACAAACCCATTTCAATATTTTCAATTTTGGTTGGGTTTTCTGGGCCACCATTATTTGATTTAGCGAGAATATTGAGAATTTGGCTTTCCAGCGCACTTCGGCCACGTCCGAGGATGCTACAAGAGCTGGAAGAAGCATTTGTGAAAGATGATTGAGAAACCCGTTCCAAGGCAGCATGCTCAGCAAGCCTGCCAAGTGGAAGTCAGTGAACCTTTGCTTCGAGGTTTGGCCTTCTGAAGGTGAAAAATCAGATTGGACATCAAGTTCTGGTCTTAGTTTCGTGACTGCCAAGGTTGTTTCAAAAGGACATATACTATGGCATATACTTCAGCCAGAAGAATTCAGCGTGCAAAGTTTGCAGCAGAACTTGTGTTTTCCACCTACTTTCGTTGTCCTCGTTAATTGATGTACTTGAGGATGCTGATGATCGACTAGCCACGAGAACATGTTGGCAAGGCGCTGCTAAGGCCTTAGAAACATTTAGAAACATGCAAATTTCTATGTCCATCCCTTACAACTATCCATGCGCAGTACTCTCAATGTTTTCGTATGCGTGTGTTTTTCAAGTCACATCTTCAAGTCGAAGTTAAACCTGCCACAAGCTTGCGCATAGCCAGCTGTGGTGGAGCAGGGCCTGGCCCAATGATCAACGGCTTGGACACGATTTGTGTAAGTTGAAGCCGGAGTTGGAAAGAAAGAACTGCAGTCTGCTGTTCTGGCTGAGATGTTCTGACAGCTTTCAAACCTCTGCATGTTGACTAAGTGACATCTAGTGACTAGTGCTGACTTTGCAGGTTGCTTACTTTCGCATTTCTCAAGCCAAGCATTTGCTTAGCCATTCATTTCCAAGGAGACCAATGAACGCCATTGAACGATCTGAAATGCAGCAACTTACCCCATCCAAATTAGATTCAATGGGGCCTTTCTTATGACAGTGTGACCTAATTACGACGCTGCGCAGCATCAAACTATACACTGCCTTGAAAAACCGGAAGATTTTTCAGCGATGTGTTGCATTGTTTTGCTACCTGTGCATGCACAACATGATGGGATAAAGGCAAGCAACTTCATGAAGCCTGCAAGCAATTTTGGGCATTTGTCATGCCATATATATATATGTAATATAATATGTACATTATATATATTATATTATATTAACTATATATATATATGTGTGTGTACCTGGTTATCTGTATTCTTTGGTTCTGTTTTGAATCTGTGGGAAGATTTCAGGTTGGCTGATCATAAACCCATCCAAAACGATTGGCTCTGCAAACTCATATTTTTACCACATGGCTTGCTGCCATGGGAGCAGCCCTGCAAGCAACAAAGAGGTGCAGAGATTTAACGATGTCGTGCGTGTGCTAATCCAAACTTGACCCTTTGAATCCGCAGATGATAAACTTGATGAACCATTGGATTTCTATGGATTTCTATGGATTTTTGATGATTTTTGAGGCTCCACATTTTGAGACAGCTCCACATGGACCACATGTTTGCAAGCCAAGTCTTCTGTGCAGAGAACCCGTGGCACTGTTTAAGGCTTGCAGCCAGCCTCTGTCTTTGCGCAGCGACCTGCAGAGAGGCGACGGCACGTGTTGTTTGAGGTGCTCAGACAGCCCCAAAGCTCAGCGTCAGGGGCCACGGCCGCAGATCGCCAAGATCCTGGTCGATGAGCTTTTCCTCGGGTCAGCACTGGGCCGCTAGGATCATCTAGGATCCATGAGTTGGGCAATGTTGGGCATGTCAGCACGGGCCCAGAGTTTGAGAGGAATGATCCAATGACGATCTTCGAAGAGGAGGATTTGGTTGTGGATAAGGGCATGACCCATGTGTGGGATGCTTGGTGAACACACCACACCACATCCAACGTCCTTCACCATATGTTCCTTCTCCATATGTATTATTTGATGCTAGCTGCTAGGTATTCATTATCATTGAGAACTCAAGCTTCTGTTTTGGCACATGGATTTATTGCATTTATATGGTTTTATGACCCTTCGTCAGACGTCATCGTATGTCATCGTGGCTTTATGACTCTTTATGGCTCTGCAGAGGTCGGCCAAAGATGTAGACATGGTGTGCGGATCTGAGCGGCAGAAGTCCGTTATGCTCCAATTTGTCTCGGGGAACTTGCGGGGAACCCTGTTGCGTGGCATGCGTGGCATGCGTGGCATGCATGCCATGAGGTTGGCGGTTGCCCCACAACCAGTCACTTTCTGGTTGGAGCTGGGATCCTTTGAGGCCGATTCGGCTGCTCCAAGTCGGGTGTCACTGCAATATAGACGTTGCAACATATCCAGAGCAGCATAGCAAACACAGATTCAAATAGATGGGAATCATCCGCATTCATGTGAATCGAGTGAGTCACCAGGGTGGCTCCGCCATCTTGGCAAGTGAACAAATCCTACTGCACGGTCTCAACACTTCAGCGCCGAACTTAGGAAGATCCTCAACACGTGCTGCAAGTGACTGGAAGATCATGACATGAAGCTGAGCCCAGGTGGTTGCAGTGGATACCTTTCTGGGTGACCATCGAGTTCTGTGGGAACGTAGCCCGGAGGAAGCGGCAAGTGCAAAGTCAATGCGCACTTCGATGTGTAGAAGGCGACATTTCATTGTGAGATACAGGATGATATAGGTGGTTGTGCAACGTTTACCATCGTTTACCCATGTTAATCCAATGTGGCCACCCTGATGTCTCTGTGGGTTTTCTACGTGATTGGATGCTTCACTGCCTTTGACCAGCCGGATGATTTCCATTGATTTCCCGGTCCCAGGAGAGGCAGCATCTCTTACGGCCAGATGCCACGATCTCTTTGTTCAATCGTTGCTTCGGAGCAGGGGATGGGCCGTGGGCATGCATGGTATACAGCCTTGACCAGTCTGTAGATGTTGCTGGGGTTGCCCGGGGTTGTTGGGGCTGAGGCTTCAGAACAAACGTGCGACGTGCCGGTTTGCAATCTTGTGCCACTAGCTCGCATCCTTGACATGCATGTACATCTCAAGAATATACGTTACATTCATATGCGGATAGGTCAGAATTGTTGAACCCCCAGCATGGATGGTTTGAATACCAAGCATGACAAAAAATTGTGGGTCTATCGGCGCCCCAAGTTTGACCCATACCCATATTTGGTTGCAGCCCCGCTCAGGTTTTGCCGCTTCCAGCCACGTCTGTTGTGGCACTGAAATTGGTGCATTCCTTGGCCAAAAGGCAGATTACACCGTCCCAAGCTTAGCACAAGTGCCAGCAGATGCCAGCAGGCTGGGGAAAATTGGTCTCATGTTCTATGCTTCTGGAGCTCAAAGATCTCAAAGGTTGCCAGAAGTCATCTACCTGGACTCTGCCCACGAGGAAGGTGAAGTACTGCCGTGAACTTGGAGCATGGGAAGCTGTGACTCTGGAACACAACGATAATTGAGCAATCTCTGGGAATCATAAGCCAGGCGAGAATTCAGATTGAACATGAGCTAACTAAAGCTGGCAAGATGAAAGGACGGGGGAGGCAAAGACTGCCATGCAAAGTCCTGACTGAAGTCAAAATGACCAACATTGCCCAAATCACTGAAGGCTGGAGCTTAACCTCGCCAGACACCAAGATATCTCCCCATTTTCCGGTGTCCAAGTATGTCAAAATTCACCCACTGAATCTGAAGGCATGGAAAGCCTTGGCCCCTGGCGGAGTTCTCTTTGGAGATGACTGGCTTCTTCCAGAGGACGATGCATTCACTGACATGTCTAGATTGTCCAGACTACAAGTCGTGGTAGGTGGCTGCAGTACCAGAGAGTTGCTGCTGTATCGTGCGCGATTGTCCTTATTATAATATATTATAATTAAAGAAAGCGGTCTGAACTGAAGCTTCTATGTTTTTGATATTGCTGTTACTGTTTGAGATGGAACGATCCTATTGTGAGAGCAGTTGAGGATGATGAAGATGGCACCTATTTAGAGGGAGCCAAGCTCTGAGACAAAGAGTGGTGAAAGCGGACCAGAAGGAAAGAAACCGTAGAAGCAAACCTGAACATATACCAAAATTGTAATGCATATGCATTGATTATGAAAAACATGAAAAACATGCGAGCATCAACTTGACTGGAAAGCTTCAGTGTTTAGGCCACTCACCGTGATGTCCTCCGATTTTCCGCTTTGGTTGAGGCTCGAAAATCTCAATTCTTGAATCGACTATTTGCCTTCCAGTGCTGTATCCTTTTCGGTAATTCACCAATTTATATAGTGTGAACCATCAATGATGATAAAGAAATTCTATGATCTATCTATATATATATATCTATATCTATATCTATCTATATCTATCTAATTGGCCTAGTTGGGGCTCGTCCCGCGGTGAAGCTGTGGTGAAGCTGTGGAGATGTCTCATGGGGCATGGCCGGCATGGCTCAGGATCAGCTCGATGATGATTGGGGTCTGAAGATCCAGTCTCTTCGAACCTTAGGCATCGGCATCGCATTGCTACTCATTGCTGCCGTGTTGACCTTTGGGACCTTTGCATTCATCGACATTGGATGACATTGGAATTTTCATGGCAGGTCGAGTGCGACCTGGACTTTTTGTATCTTACAACTCTTTCCAGTGTCGATCTAAGATGGTTGATTTTGGCTTCAGATTCATTTTCCTTCTAAGCAGCATGAGTCAGCATGAGGTGGTTCATGAAGAAGTTGCCCAATGCGGACAGCTCTACAGGCGAACACCTTCGCGAGACTTGGTTGCAACATGTTGCAACTCCTCGACTTCATTGCACGATTTTACTGGTCAAACCGGTCAAACCTTCTTTTCCAACCTTTTCATACCTTTTCCCCATAATGTTGGATGCTGATTCGTAGCTAGGTTCGCTATTGTGGCAAATTTTCTCCAAATTATTCTGAAACTCATGTATTGTTTGGAGGGTTCGCTTTTGTGGCAAAAAAAACTTGGGAGAGCCTCTTTTTTGGAAAAAACAACAAGCACTACAAGTACTACAAGTACTACAAGTACTACAGGTACTACAAGTACTACAAGTAATACAAATACCACAACTTCATCGGCAAAAAAACAGTTTTAATTAGATTTCAATTGTAGCCAATTGAAATCCTTACTTAATAGAGGATATGTTTTTCTTTTGGGAAGAAAAGTTTTGACTTTCCACTTTAAAGAGAGTCCAGATATTGTTTAGGGGGGGCCTCGCACTAATCAGGAACCAACATTACTCGTATAGGTAATATAATCTCATATATAATCATAATGTTGATCCATATTGTATTATGTGTTTCCATATTTTCCAGGTTAATCCGTATCGACCCAATTCCTCTGATGTCCTTCTCGTGGCTGCCCAGGCGAGTAATCCTGGTGGCAGCCTCAGTTGAGGAGATCTCTCTCTGGGTTAAATTCGGGCTTTGCCTTGAATTTGTACGGCAATTTCAAAAGGAAACATATCGGAACATGATCAACAATGATGAAGCACCAAGAGTTTGGGATATCCATCCATATCCATCCATATCCATCCATATCCATCCATATCCATCCATATCCATCCATATCCATCCATATCCATCCATATCCATCCATATATCATATATCCATCCATACATGCGTCCATATATTTGATGGATCATTTCTCAAACTTCACCTATTTGCTATAAGGATATGTTTGTTGGAGCGAGGGCTTCCGCAAGGAGGACTGCTGTGATGAGGCCAGGAGCATGCAGAAACCATCAACGCCGTGCCGCCGTGGGTTGGGAACTGCTTCAGGAAAGGTTTGGACCTGGGGGAAATCCAAAATGCTGGGACCTGGTCAGCAGCTCAGGCGATTTTGAATCTGGAGTCATTCTGGGTGGAAATATGTTGAAATCTTCCAGCACGTTCTTTTCTGTTCAGGTGTTCACACAAGACCGTTGTTGTAAATGATGCAAAATGTACATAAAGTCGAATAACGTATATAATAAGTGTAAAGATAATTGATGAAGATGAAAAACATATAGACAAAAGAATATCTATAGTGTATAATTTATTAATATATGTTTATAATACATGATATTATTTATCGTAATGAATTGCACAAACAATGGGAAAAGAAATCGATACATATCAGCTTGACTTCTGATCCCCTGAGATGGTGATAGCTTAATAAAGAAACACAAGCGGACGTAGAGGAATGTATATGGTGTACATGTAATTAATTAATACTGAAATACAATACCTGGTTGTTACATGATTAATATTTGTAGTATATGTGGAGCATACGGGTAGTATAAATTTTAAAGATCCGCTCTAAAATGCCCATAAGTAACTTTTAAATCAGGGATGCATGTTCAATTTTATTAGAAAGCGGAGTCCTGCAGCTTAGCGCTAAATTTGAGCTAGTGTGATTCTAGATAATTTCATTATATGGTGATTCAAGTGTCATGCCTGATGTTTTCTTTCCCTCTTGCTTTCTTGCAACAATTGTTCCCGTTCCTGCGTGGGCAATTCCACAATATTTTTTTTTTTCCAAATCTCTTTGAGCTGTTTTGACTCTTTTACCTCCTTTTGGGCCAATATTATAAATATAATTTTTGAAAAATCATAAAATAAATTTAATAATTAGATTAAATATAATTAATTCTGAATTTTGAAATAATAAAAAATAATAAATAATTAAATTATATTAAATTATAAAAACATACAAATAATATATTAAATAAAATAAAAATATATAATTTATTTATATAATTTTTATATAATTATATTAAATTTAATAAATGCAAAAAATATAAATGAAAACAAAATAAAAATATATGTAAATTTATTAATATAAAAAAATATTTTATATATTATTAATTATATATAATTATATATATTATTGATTATATATTAATATATTTTATTATATATATTATTTTACATATTATTATTTATATTATTTTATATATTATTATATATATATATAATATTATATATATTATTATATCTATTATTATATATTATTATATATTATTATATCTATTATTATATATTATTATCTATTATTATCTATTATTATATATTATTATATATTATTATATATTATTATATATTATTATATATTATTATATATTATTATATATTATTATATATTATTATATATTATTATATATTATTATATATATATATTATTATATATATATATTATTATATATATATTATGTATTATTATATATATATTATGTATTATTATATATTATTATATATTATTATATTTATTATTATTTATATTATTATGTTTATTATTATGTATATTATTATATATATTATTATGTTTATTATTATGTATATTATTATATATATTATTATGTATATTATTATGTATATTATTATATTTATTATTATATATATTATTATATATATTATTATATTTATTATTATATATATTATTATATATATTATTATATATATTATTTTATATATTATATATATTTTT